TATGGCCAATACACTTTCAAGTGTGGAACGGGTCCTTTTCTTTACTTCACTTACCCCTACGGTTACAAAGTAATCTGCAGTCCAGTCTTCTGCCTTTCTAGCCCCCCACGGATAATAGACCCTCAACCAACTCACGCCAAGTCGCTCTATCCTTCGCTATCGCATGCCGCTCTCCCCATGTCCTTCACACCATATTTTGTATTTCCCTCTCTAGCTTCTAGATTTCTCTGCTCTATTTTGTGGTATCTTTTTCATAATGTTATAATATTACAATCATTGCTACTAAAAATTAGACAGTTCGATGCCTGTTCAGTCCTCCGCTGCAGAAGTCATTCTAGTGTGCCTCTGCTGCCTGTGCCCATGAGGAGCTGGCTATGATGTCTCTGGTCTCAGCTTCAAAGGCGGCATAGTGTTGCTTGACCATGCTTTACTCCTATGTCTCGCAATCGTGTTAGTGTCAGTGATTTGTCAGTATTCGTATGTGATATGTATCACATACACGAGGTGGTGGTGGAAGGAGGGAGGGTTGTGTGCATAACAGGCGGGGAAAAAAAAAAAAGGGGGGGGGGGTGGGTAATAAGTTTCCAAGACAACGTGCTGGGAATGCAAAAAGACATCTTCGATCGCTCATCAAAATAATAAAACTGAGATAATTGTTTTGCCGAGGTAGTCGAGCAGGATGTTCACCAGCTCGAGATGACACTTGTATTTCGATCCTAATGCGAGATCACAGCAGCTTGGTCTGAAAATCCATAGAGGAAAGAAAAAGATAATGAGAATAAATCAGGCAAATAGTAATGTGGTTTCTCTTTATGGCACCCTATTCCAAGACGTGGAGTCGTACACCTATTTGGGCAGTAATGTAGATAAAGATTTAGTAACTGATTCATATATTAAAATAAGAATACAAAAGGTAAGAGGAGCTTTCATAGCCTAGGGAATTTGTGGAGGTCAAAAGAAATTAAAAGAAATACTAAACTAAAAATGTTTAATTTTAATGTAAAGTCGGTACTATTGTATGGAGCGGAAACATGGAGAACAACTAAGGCAATTACTTATGAATTACACACACTCATTAACTGGTGCCTGCGCAGAATAAAGGGAATTTAATGGTATGATAGAATAACAAATGTAAAGCTTTGGGAGAGAACTAAACAGTCTACAGTGGACCAAGAGGTGAGGAAAAGACGCTGGCGTTGGATAGGACACATACTGGGAAAACAGAAAACAGCATAACTAGAATGTCTTTGCACTTGAACCCCTAGGGCATAGGAATAAAGAAAGGCCAAAAAACACACGGAGAAGAGAGCTGGAGAATGAAGTCAGAAAGATGGGTAGGACATGGGGAGAGCTCCATGCTATGGCGAAGGATAGAATGATTCGGCATGAGTTGGTTGAGGGCCTATGCTCCATTGGGGGATAGAAAGGCAGAAGAAGAATGCTCCGCTGGATCCTGGCACTGGCCTGGCCTTTGCTGACATGTGTCAATATGAGCTTGTCATTTGTGACATCTGTCAATATGAGCTTGTCATTTGTGACATCCGTCAATATGAGCTTGTCCTTTGTGACATCCGTCAATATGAGCTTGTCACTTGTTACATCCGCAGATTTTTTTTTTTTTAATGATTATAATTTTTTTTTTTAAACTATTATTATCAATTATCAATTATAAAAATTATTCCAGCAAGTTGATACGTGGATCAAACATGTCTTACTTTTGGCAAGGGGGCAAAAACACATGTGATCAGTATTAGACTGAATTATCTGTGTCAAATGACCTTGGCTCCCGAGTCGACCCAGCCTAGAACGGGAACCATGAAACATAGAAAATAGAGATAATGGTTTCAATGCACTTCGTGACACATAGAAAATATAGATAATAGTCTCAAGGCACTTCATGACACATAAAAAATAGAGATAATGGTTTCAATGCACTTCGTGACACATAGAAAATAAGATAATAGTCTCAAGGCACTTCGTGACACAGAAAAAATGGATAATGGTAAGAAGGCACTTCGTGACTCATAGAAAATATAAATAATAGTCACAAACACTTCGTGACATATAAAAAAATATAGATAATAGTCTCAAGGCACTTCGTGACACATAGAAAATATAGATAATGGTTTCAAGGCACTTCGTGACACATAGAAAGAATAGATAATGGTCTTAGGGCACTGCGTGACACAAAGAAAATATAAATAATAGTCTCAAGGCACTTTGTGACAGATAAAAAAATATAGATAATGGTCTTAGGGCACTTCGTGACACATAAAAAATACAGATAATGGTTTCAAGGCACTTCGTGACACATAGAAAATATAGATAATGGTTTCAAAGCACTTCGTGACACATAGAAAATACAGATAATGGTTTCAAGGCACTTCGTGACACATAGAAAATATAGATAATGGTTTCAAGGCACTTCGTGACACATAGAAAATACAGATAATGGTTTCAAGGCACTTCGTGACACATAGAAAATATAGATAATGGTTTCAAGGCACTTCGTGACACATAGAAAATACAGATAATGGTTTCAAGGCACTTCGTGACACATAGAAAATACAGATAATGGTTTCAAGGCACTTCGTGACACATAGAAAATACAGATAATGGTTTCAAGGCACTTCGTGACACATAGAAAATACAGATAATGGTTTCAAGGCACTTCGTGACACATACAAAATATAGATAATGGTCTTAGGGCACTTCGTGACACATAGAAAATATAGATAATGGTTTCAAGGCACTTTGTGACACATAGAAAATATAGATAATGGTTTCAAGGCACTTCGTGACACATAGAAAATATAGATAATGGTTTCAAGGCACTTCGTGACACATAGAAAGAAGAGATAATGGTCTTAGGGCACTGCGTGACACAAAGAAAATATAAATAATAGTCTCAAGGCACTTTGTGACAGATAAAAAAAATATAGATAATGGTCTTAGGGCACTTCGTGACACAAAGAAAATATAGATAATGGTCTCAAGGCATTTCGTGACACATAGAAAATACAGATAATGGTCTCAGGGCACTCCGTGACACAAAGACAGTATAGAGTATAGATAATAGTCTCAAGGCACTTTGCGACACGAAGAAAATATAGATAATAGTCTCAAGGCACTTCCTGACACATAGAAACTATAGATAAGGGTCTCAATGCACTTCCTGACACATAGAAAATAAAAATAATAGTCTCAAGGCACTTCGTGAAACATAGAAAATATAGATAATTGGCACAAACTCAAAGACGCAGTGCAAAATGTCAAGAAACAAGCTAGAAATATGAGCACCGGAATCACAAAACAAATCAGCCAGCTATTTACTGGCTCTGGAAATCGCAAAATTGAATTTCGCTGAAAAATATTCAGCAAAACTCTCGGGAAAATATTCTTACACAAATAGATATGTCACGTGGTTAGGGGGCGCATCGTTGAAAACCAGCTCAGCAATTTGTGAGTGCAAAGTTCCCAATTTCAGAGGACAAGAGCCCAGATACAGTATTAAAATCTAATCTGTGAGCCAAATCACTGCCCATTCCCGGCGTGCGATCCTATTACCCCGAACAAGTGCAGATCTTCCTGTGGTAGGTGACGTCACACTAACTTTATCACAGAAAATTGGTATTCGCGTCTCTTAGTAAAAGTCTTGTAAGGCAAGTCAGAAAAAGAAGAAGAAGAAATAACTACTTTTGTTCATCTCATCATTGACTTTTTTTAAATATTTTTAGACAGAGGAAAAACTCGCTGTCTAAACTTATTTACGTCGTTACAGATGCCAGAATCACATTTCTGAAGGCTGACGGGAAGTTCGGGCACAGGGAAAGATTTCAGTCAATTAGGGTCTTGCGAAGATGCTTGATTGACCTTCTTTAACCCTATCAGGTTCCAAAGCGATATTTTTGTGTAGCTATAATATAGCGATGTTGCCCAATAGTGTCCATGACATCCAAATGAATGAATGAATCGTTTTTCTTTTTTTTTTCCACCTCGGGACGCTACCTAAAGGTGTAGACAATACCCAGAGAACACACAATTTCAATGTGTATGACACGCCAATAGGGAAACACACCGATATCAAGTTCAGTCTTTTAGACATATATAATTGGGATATCAGTAACGAATAAACAAGTCTTGTTTAACATGCAGTCGTGTAGAGAGGTACGGAATGCACACACCTCTCTCCTGTCGAATCTTCTGTTTGTTGTTTTTTTTTTCCTTCTCGTTCACCAGCTGTAAACTCTGGTGGAAAGTTCTGGTTGTTCATCCACTTTTAGACTGCCGTCATGTTCCAGAACCTGAGTTTTGCTTGTGCATCTCTTTTACAAATCTGACTCATTTGTATGCAGATTTCTGGCTCCTTGCCTTTCAGGCAGATGGGTAGACAGTGGGTCTATTCTTTTTTTTTTTTTTTTTTTTTTCTCTGTTGAATGAATGAATGACTGAATGAATGATTGAATGCAGAATGGAATTAGGAAGTATCCAAAAAGTTACTTACGCATCCTGTACAGTGGGCATGTCAAACTGACGGCAGGTGGAGAGCATGTGGTTCCTTGACTGCACACCTTCGTCCCCACAAAGAGAATATTCTGCAGTAATGTTTTGGTAAATGAATCCAATTACTAAGCGTGTGTGGCCCTCATGACGACACAATTTGACGCATGTGGCTTTCGGTGGAACTCTCAGTTTGACATATCTGCTTTTTAGGACGTTGCAGAACCAAACCTATCTTTTGGGAGGAACATGTGTGTGTGTGGGGGAGGGGGGGGGGGGTGCTCCTTGTAATTCCACTAGGCAATGTTTACGCTAATTTTTTTTTGCTATTGCTACTGTACGATCGGCTGTCTTTTTCAACAACAACAAAACAAAAAGACTACATAGCTACGTGATCCCGTAGAATGATAACATACAGAGAGCATGTTGGCCATGTTAAAACAAGAGCAACGTTTCTTTAAGACAGACCGTGACGAGAGCGACGTTCTGTAAAGGACCTGCTACATGGTGATGACTACTACTACCACCGCCACCACCACCAACACCACTACTGCTACCACCACTACCACCACTATCACAACCACCACCACCACTACTGCTACCACCACCACCACCACTATCACCACCACCACCACAACCACTATTACTACCACGATCACAACCACCACCACCACTACTGCTACCACCACCACCACCACCACTACTGCTACCACCACCACCACTATCACCACCACCATCAAATACACTATCACCACCACCATCACATACACTATCAGCACCACCACCACTATCACCACCACTATCACAACCACCACCACTATCACAACCACCACCACCACCACTATCACAACCACCACCACTATCACAACCACCACCACTATCACAACCACCACCACCACCACTATCACAACCACCACCACTATCACAACCACCACCACCACCACTATCACAACCACCACCACTATTACAACCACCACCACCATCACATACACTATCAGCACCACCACCACTATCACCACCACCACCACCACCACCACTATCACAACCACCACCACCACTACTGCTACCACCACCACCACAACCACTATCACCACCACCACCACAACCACCACCACCACCACTATCACCACCACCACCACCACCACCATCACCGTCACCACCACCACCACCACCACAACCACTATCACCACCACCACCACCACCACCACCACCATCACCGTCACCACCACCACTATCACCACCACCACCACCACCACCACCACCATCACCGTCACCACCACCACCACCACCACAACCACTATCACCACCACCACCACCACCACTACTACTACTATTTGACAATTACATAAGGCCAGAATTTCCTCTTAAAAATATATAGCCCCATTAAACAATGTGCATGCCTGAGTTTTTTCTGACCAAATACGCTTCTCTTTCTTTCTGTTCTCAATATCTATGTTAAGGCTCAAGGTATCGCAGTGCAGCAGACGACAGGTAGCAAAGCTATAGTGAGCTTGGCTGCTTGGCACCGTTTCATTTTCTGACCAAATACGCTTCTTTCTTTTCTCAATATCTATGTTAAGGCTCAAGGTATCGCAGTGCAGCAGACGACAGGTAGCAAAGCTATAGTGAGCTTGGCTGCTTGACACCGTTTCATTTTCTGACTCGGTGGCCGAACCATTGCAGTCTTTGTTTGTCATTAATTATGTGTTTTGATTGTAATAGTTCTTCTGGTCTCCTAACCTCTGACACTCCCACTGTGGGTTAAGGTGCACGATTTTGGGGAAAACAGGAACGAGACCCACTGCCTTCCCAACAAGCATGTCGTAAGAGTCGATCACTGGTGGTTGCCTTCGAAGTAGGAGTGAATCTGCCTGATAGGCAAGAAATCAACAGTCTGTGTATAGATAAGTCAAATCTGTAAAACTGATGTACACGCAACACTCCGGTTCTGGAACAAGTCCACAGTCCAGAGGTGGTTGAACAACCATAACTCTCTACCCGAGTTTACAGCCGGTGAACGCCAGGGCGAAGAAGAATTCTGACAATTTCTCTTCTAGATTTCTTTACAGCTGTTCTCAAACATCACATTTCCCAGTTGGTTGGTTTTATTATGTGCTTTATATAATAACAAATGAATAAATTTGCGTTAATAACCTAACGGTTGAACGAGGTTTATGGAACTTTGCACCCCTGCAGTTATCACCCGAATGGTGGCATTTTGTGTTACCCGTTTTTTATGGCTCGTTGTGCCATCCTGGTGGGGTGGAATATCACTTGCTTGAGTTGAAGATTGAGACGCTAAGGACAATTGTACTACGCTCTACAAATGACATTAACATCGACAGACATTAAAATATAGGTTGTAGCTGATGCAAAAACACGTCTTGCAAACATCATCCAACCGCCATGCTAAACACTGTCTCCATTGCCTGACGCCAAAGGTCACGTTCATTGAGAAACCACTTGATTCCGTCCGTCCCATTACGTGAGTTCTAATAAATATATCAACTCTCTCGAGCAGGGGGAACAACTGTGCATTAATCTCTATTACTAGTGTCTAAAGCTATCGTTAGTGATACTACATTAACTGTCGCTCCATCGAAAATATGCTGACATGATAACATTTTTGTGGAGAATGTGACTCCGGAAGAAATTTTCCAAAGATGGTTACATTGTTGTATTTAAAAAAAAAAAAAAAAAGATAGATTTTTAAATAAAAGTTCCACGTGTGGGTTCCGGGGCTCTATTATAGGAAACAAAAACAGACCCACTGCCTATCCAAAATGTAATGGGGGATATTTTCACCCAGATTAGGAAGGTTGGGGGGAAGGCCCAAAGCTAACCCAAAACACCGAGATATTCCAGATACTCGGATTAAACGAGGATCTTGAGATTGGTGATGACCATTAGTTATCACGGGTATCACGACGACGCGACCAAAGGTCGCCACGTTAAAGTAAAGGACCACCATGTGTTGCCACGTGAAACTAACCCGTGGTATAAGTCGACTTGATTCTGATCAAGTTTAGTTTGTGTCGACCTGTTGGAGCGAGAGGATGTGCGACTGAGTGTAAGAATGTCAACGTGAGGCTGTTTGTTGCGAAAGGAGACCCTGACGACAACGTGTGAATCCAAGATCGGCCAAGCCAGTCGGTGTAATGGCAAGAAACTCAACCTGAGTTATTGGAGCCGATTCTGGTCAGGAAATGCATGAAGAACCTGCATGTTGAAGGCTGCGTGGTGTGCGAGAGCTGTTCATTAGGACAACGACAGGACTCTTCTGTAAGTTATTACATGCCAATAAACTCGTACCAGTTATGTAACGTAGAGTGTGTGAGAAGAACATTCACGACACACACATGAACACCTCCTAGACAACGAGAGAATATAAAACACCACTTATTGCACAAAAGCATGTCGTAAGAGTCGACTAACTGGGAGCTTCTTTTGAAGTTAGAGTGCATTTGCCTGTGGGGAAAGGAACAAACAGTCTGCACTCAAATGAGTCGAATCAGTAAAACAAATGTACACGCAACACTCAGGTTCTAAAACAGGACTCCAGTTCAGAAGTGGACGAACAGCCAGAACGTTTCGCCGGAGTTTACAGCTGGTGAACGTGAAGAAGAAGAGGAATAAAAATGATACAGAAATAATTTTAGAAAACCATAGACTTAAAAGGAAAATAACATAGACTTCCAGCATGATCCTAATATAGAAAAGAACTTTCTCATTAACATCATCCTGTCCCGAACGTTGAAGTATTTCGGCCATGTTAATCGCTATGGTAAACTCAAACACAACTACAAGAAAGGATGTATATAATGGTAACGGAAAGAGAAAACAAGGGAATTAATCTGAACAGCAGAAAAACATTTTTAGTTACAAAGTTGCCCTCCAAAATGCGACATAAAGTAAAAGGCACAAACGTCAAGCAAGTTCGTATGTTTAATACTTGGGTGCCCGGCTTTCCAGCGTAGTTGGCTAAACCGGATTGCGCAGAGACCGGGTGACGAACTCCTTGTGATCCTGGTTCAATCCCGTGGGTAGGCCGAGAAGCCACATTTTCTCCCAGATTTACGGTATTTACAATGGAATCAAGGCCCAAAGGCTGCGATATCCACAATACCGAGCCTAAGGGTAACAACTCATGGCTTCTGGATACTAAAACAAACAAACAATACTTGGGTACCCTGATAACATCAGATGAAAGATGTATCAATGAAGTTAAATGTCCAATAGCTCAAGCAGAGGCAGCATTTTGCAAAATGGAGAATATTTATTTTATGCATTTTTGTGTATGGGTCAAATGAGATGCGAAAGAGAATTCTCAAAAGCTATTTAAATCCTATACTGATATACGGGTGTAAATCATTTACAGTTAGCACTTAGAAATAGACACAGAAAGAGAGCATTTCAGAAGGCTTCTGTAAAGAACCCGCTGAAACGATAAGGCAGACGAAATGTGTATCAGTCTGACACTAACATATACGTTAGCAGAAGAATAAATCGACATCGATCTTACACTTATTAGTGTAAATTGAAATAGGTGGTTAGTAGAATTAGAATTCTGTATCCAGCGCGGGTCAAGGGGACAGTACACAAACTAGTTCAACCTCAATGTCCCATATAGAACTGACAGCCCAAACTAATGGCCTCTCTAGTCCCAACCACTTTGTTACTAATTTCTAGAACAGTCCGGAACAGGTGATTAATTGTGACTTTAGTGTGTTCGTCGACCTCCAGTGTCTACTGAATGTTCCCCGAAATAGTGATATTTAATTCTAGAGCTTTAATTTATTCTAACAATAAACGTTGATAAAAATGTCTGAAGGGCAATAAACACAGCTCCTTACACTATTGATTCGTCGACTGATTCTTTTCAATTCACATTCTTTAATATGTACTTTAATTGTTATTGTGCTTGTTGTGAATTTTGTTTTTCGTTGATACTGATTTTGTGTTACCCAAATTTCATTTTTGCTAGGATTGTCCAGCCACGCATAAATTCTCTTTATCGCGGACGCCGGAATTAGTAGCTCAAGCACTTCAAGCGCAATTTTACTTTCAATAGTGCCCCAGGAACTGTTGGGTGCCCACAGTATTGTCCACATCAACACAGAGCGATCTGCCGCCAAACTACATGCAGCTGAATCAAACATGGTATATTAGAATTAAAAAACTGCTCTCATAATTGTTAAGCCACAGAGACCGAGTTCTTTTAAGACTCGGTGATAAAAACAGTTCATTCATTGCTACAGTTACCAACCGATAATTATGTTTGTGATTAACTTTCTTCTTCCATTTGGTGACTTTAAATGTTTGTAGGTCTCGATTATATTATCTTTCCACAATCTTCTTTGTGTGTCTCGTGGTCCATCCAAAGTGGAAGCTTGGATATCTGTTTACTGACGAAATTACGTTTTATAAAGGCCTTTAATTCTTCAACCCCCAACCTAAAGCATCAAGTTGTCTCACTTTTGTCTGTTGTCTACTCTATGCCTTGTCCAGGTTTTGTGGCATTTCTACTAACCGCACAACTGCCAGTTTAGCGTTCAATGTTATTGTGGAGTACAAGCACCACCACCATGACCAGACGGAAACGCTTTTTTTGGGAGCTGTCAAAAAAAAAAAGGGACGAGGGTGGGGAGGGTCTTACATATGTGACAAGGTGCGATTCCTAATCTTTCTCTTATTTACTTTCCTGACATTTAAACTCGCCCTTAACACGTTTTCAGTCCCCTTCTTTGAGCGGCTATTTTCTCTTTCTTCGCGCTCACCAAGTTTAAACTCCGCGGAAAGTTCTGATTGTTCGACCACTACTGGACTTTGATCTTGTTCCAGAAGGTGAGTTTTTCATGCACATCTGATTTACAGATGTCACTTATTTGTAGGCAGACTATTGGTTCCTTGACTCTTGGGCAGATGCACGACTTCGAAGGTAACATCTCTAATTAGCCGAGTCTTACGGCATGCTTGTTTGGGTGGAAGTGTAGGATGGTTGGCAGTGAATCTATTTTTCCTCTCACAATTGGGCCCTGCAACCCATCTAAAGACTACAGTTAATAATTTAAAACAACTCCTGGGTCTCCGTGTGGTCTAAGCCATTTCCCTCACATTGTGGTGGTCGTAAGATCGTTTCAAGGGCAGCATTGCAATTATTTTTTAGAGATCTTTGAGAATCCTCACTGGAGCTATGGGTGGTCGTTCTTTGTGTGATATTGTCGACAGGCGACTAGCTTTTTTCTGGCATTGATTGAACCATATAAGAAAAAATCCTGATGCAGTAAAATCGATTTTAAAACGTTATTATTATAAAATGACAGACATAAA